AGGACTTTTGTGATGCCCCGAAAGACCTCTCTACTACCTACCCGGGCATCGAACTCTTGAGGAGCCCACGGAACGATGGCAACCAAGAAGAAAGCTGCACCGAAGAAGACCGCCAAGAAAGCAACCACCAAAAAGGCTGCGCCTAAGAAGGCTGCGAAGAAGACGGTCAAGAAGAAAGCTGCCGCGAAGAAGGCTTCGCCTAAAAAGGCCGCTAAGAAGACGGTAAAGAAGGCCGCCACCAAGAAGACGGCGACCAAGAAGGCTTCCCCTAAGAAGGCTGCCAAGAAGACCGCAAAGAAGAAGACCACCAAGAAGGCTTCGACCAAAAAGGCCGCTGCCACCGCCACTCCGGCAACGCCTGCGACCTAAGCAGTCGGGCCGAGCTTATCCCTCGGCCACTTGGTTCTTTCTTCGAAATAAGGTCCCCCCCAGGGTGGCCTGGCATATAACGACGAGAAAGGCCGAACCTTTGTCCCGTAGCGATACGGGCCGGTGGTTCGGCCTATTTGTTTGCGCGGCGCCAATTTCTTGACGGAACACCGCTTTGTTCGGCCAGTGCCAGCCGATTGAGGGGCACGCGAGATTGTCCTATCGCCCTTTGTGCATTATCGTTAGGGCTTATTGATGTAACGCAAAGTTGCGGTAACGGTAGGTCCAGCGTACCCATCCGGTGGTACGGCTATCGTGAAATGCCAGCCCCAAGGGGGCGATCCTTCATAACCAGCGGCGAAAGTCTGCTTCCCACTGGTGATCAACGGTCGCCCCTTCGGGGCTGTCACACGAGCTCTCGCTCGAATGTCAGGGACCTGCTGAGGATACCGCGGAATTTCACTCCCGCGTCTTTTCCGATGAAGACGTCCTACGCAGAAACGGTCTAGTACCTTGTCGACCTCCGAAGATTCTCCTGAAAAGCGATTTACTGATCTCGACCTTTCCCAAAAGATGCTCGCCGCGCTGAAAGAGGCCCGCTACGAGGTTCCCTCGCCGATTCAAGCTGGCGTGATCCCGATTGCATTGGAAGGGAAGGACGTCCTCGGTCAGGCCCGCACAGGGACCGGCAAAACGGCCGCTTTCGGCATTCCGATCATCGAAACGCTTCCCGAAGGCAAAGGGCCGCACGCGTTGATCCTGGTGCCGACGCGAGAGCTCGCCGTGCAAGTGCGTGACGAGATCACCAAGCTTTCCAAAGGCATGGGCGTCAACACGGTGGCGATCTACGGCGGCAAGCCGATCAAAAGCCAGATCGACAAGCTGAAGCGAAACCCAGACATCGTCGTCGGCACGCCAGGCCGCGTGATCGATCATATGACGCGGCGTTCGCTGTCGCTGGAAAACTTGAGCATCGTTGTGCTCGACGAAGCGGATCGAATGCTCGACATCGGTTTCCGCCCCGACATCGAAAAGATTCTGCGTCGTTGTCCGGATGATCGCCAAACCATGCTGCTGAGCGCTACCGTTCCGCCGCCGATCGAACGGCTGGCCAATCGCTACATGCAAGATCCGGTGAAGATCGACTTCTCGCCGACAAATATCTCGGCCGACACAATCGAGCAGCATTACTTTACCGTCGACGGTCCCAAGAAGATGGAACTGCTGGTCCGTTTGCTTCGCCGCGAACAACCGACCAAGTGTATCGTGTTCTGCCGCACCAAGCGGGGGACGGAGAAACTGTTCCAGCGACTGCAAAAGAAGACGAAGCTGGTCCGCTGTATCCATGGCGACATGCATCAGGGTGCCCGAAACCGCACGATCCGCGACTTCAAAGACAACAAGT